GGCGGGTGGGCGGGCTGCCTCCTGGGCCCCGGACTGCAGGCTGCGTGCAGCCCGAGTGCTCCTTGTCAGACTTGGGCTGCAGTCTCCGAGAGAAGCCTCGTAATTCTCATCCAGGCCATCTCTGACCTGCATTCAAATCCCCTTCCACTTTGCTCCTTTCTTCGCAAGGTCTAAGGTTATGCAAGAGCTTGCCATTTTCTCAGTGGTCTTCCTTAGTAATAAAAATAAGCACAAGGGGCTTCTGCGGTAATCTCGCCCAGTCCTAGGCTCCATGGCAGCCTACAGTGGAAACGAAGGGACATTTTTCGCCGCAATGAGGCTGACAACCTCGGTCCTCAGATGCACAAAAACACCCCAGTGTGCTAATATTACCCAGAGCATCAAAAAGGCATGCAAGGATCAGATTTTGCATGGTGCTTGCTGAGTGTAAAGGACAGCACCAAGCCATTTTCTCTGCCCTCTAGAAGCTTATAATGTACAGTCCTATTACAAAGCAGAATAAAAGCATGAAACCAATAAAAGGGAATACCATAAAATATTTTTATCTCTATAGGTTCATTCAGGCAGAGGGCATTTATTGGGTGACTGCAGTACTGCAAAAGGTTGCAAAGGAAATAGAAGATCTGATCCCTGCAGGTTGAGAGTTTACAGTTTAATTAGCAACACAAGGCATATGTACATGAAACAACTAGAAAATCCCCAGGTGTTATATAAGCATGAGGATGGAGTAGGTGGGGATATTTTTTCACTAGAAGAGTTCTGTGTACCTGTCTGATTGGTGGGGATCAGGAGAGGAAATTCCAGGACCAGTCATGACAAGAGTGACTGTATGTATCCTTACGCTATGGAGATATAATCGGAACTCAGTGTCAGTCACAAACTTTTGACCTTGGACACATTGTTAACCTAAAAAGTGAATAAAGACTGCCTGGTGGCTGTGTAGCAATTTAAATGAGATTACACACATGTAAAAGCTTGTCAAGTTCAACCATGGACATTTACTGAGTCCTTATTGTACAAACTGGTCTCTTGTTGGTCTCCTTTCTTAGAGTCTCCCCTAGGCTGTAAGCTCCATGAGGGCAGGGACTAAGTCTGGTTGTGTTCACCATGTATCACCCAAGCCTTGCAGAATGGTACATGACCCTGCTCAATAAAGGTTTGCTGAACGAGTGACTAAATGAACTAATTAATTCTGTTATGTGTGAACCATTCCTGTTATCTTTTCCTTAAAAAGTTCCTTTGGTAGTGGTCTAAACGTGTGGTTGGCTCAATGCAGAACCCTCCAACTCAACCTTCCTGTGACTAGCTTGTCTTCCAGGAGATTATCTGATAGCATTCTGAGTGCTGTTATGGCCTTGTAACATAAATTGTGTGTGTGTGTGTAAAGCAAAAGGATACGCTAGTGTCCAGCCCTCTACACAAGCATATGCCCTCAAAGATACAGCGTGGACATCTTAGAGTTTCTCAACCTTGGTACTATTGGCATTTATGGCTGGATAATTGTTGTGGATGCTATCCTATATAATGTAAGATGTTTAGCAGCCTCTACCCCTACATGCCAGTAGGATACCCTTCCCCCACAGTTGTGACAATCAAAAATGTTCCAGACTTTGCTGACTGTTGTGGGGGAGGGGCGTGCAAGGCAAAATCACCCCCCTTGAGAACCGCTTTACTTTAAGATCTAGTCTTTCCATGTATCTGGTAGAAAATCACACCAGTAAAGTTACTTGGAGGCAATACATATTCTGTTATTCTGAGATTCTCAGATCTCCTCAATCGTATGTTTCAAGGAGCACGACTCTTGTTAATTAATTGCCTGCTGCATTGTGAATTGGCATCGCTTCTGTTTTCTGCATATCCTCCTCCTTTACGCCCAGATCAACATGTTCATTTCTAAAAGTCAACAGCTTTCAAAAACTATTAGGAAACAAGGTCTTGAGCAACCTAAGAGTCCTGTACATTATTTTCCTCTAAAATTTGAAGTATTTATTTCATAAAATTTTGCAGACAGCTTCTCCATTGCAGTTAAGCCCTGAGACTTACAAACAATAACCACATCCTATCTCCACTCAGGTCGTAAGTGACACAGGATTTAAAACATACTTCTTAAAAATTATTTTACTTAAAATAGTTAAATAACTACATTGAGTAATTTTCTGTCATATTGAAGCCATTTCTTTTTGGTTTCAGAGGAAGTTTTCATCTCATAATGGGATAAGAATATGTTTTATTAAAAACTGTAAAGCAAAACTCAGCATAGTTATCAACTTACAAAAGCAAATTCTTCAGACTATTGCTGGGATGTTCAAGAGCTGGAAGTGTGGATGAAAATCCTGATGGACTGATGTGCTGTCATTCTAAAGGTTCCTTGAAGAAATAAAGAAAACGGTTGAATTAATGAACAAACTCAGATAAGCCTGTTTGCTAAAGTAATGGATATGTGGAACCAAAAAAGCTCCTGTTAGGGAGAGCAGATAATAGTACCAAGTTTGTGATGTAAGCAGACATTTTTGTTCAGCAAAACAATAGCATCTGTCTTGTTAAATAAGGTTATTTGAAGCATTGGTTTTATAGTTTTGTTCATATTTAGTTTTGGTTTCATAGTTGTGTAATGGTTACAAGCATATGCAAATCAGTTTATATCTAGTTAGTGATTATTCAAATTTAAGTTGAGCATTGAAAACTGGGTAGGCATCCAAACAGCTTAGAGGCTTAGAAAAATGGCAGAGTGCGAGAGTTGAATGCGGTTTACAGTAAAGTGATCCTCCAATTTCTGTTTTGTTAGATTAGAACCAGGCTTCGGATGGGGGGGTCTCCAAGTTCTCTATGAATCTATGAAATGTGTGCTTTTACCTTAATTACATTTTTTAAAGAATCAATGTCATATTAAATCAAAATCATACATATTCTGAATCACATGAGTGTCTATCATGCAGCCACAACCCTACTGCCTTTTTGCTATGTACCTATAAGGACAGGCAGTTTATTAAATGATACTTTGATAAAAATAACTTAAGGCATCAGTGAAGGTCCATGGTAATTTTTTTAGAGGTATGTACATTACTCAAGTGTGAGAAATACTACCCCAGCTGCATCATAACTATTTTTGGAGAATGATGAATTAAAAGTCCTATAAAATCTGAAATTGAGTTCTAAACCAGAGGCCCTAAGAAACCAATATTATATTCTAAAACTCTTAAGTGACTAGGTCAGATTAGTGGAGAGTAGAAGAGAAATTCAAAAGCTGGAAATGTCACTAAAAATCCTGTCAGGTTTGGCACCCATTCCCCAAAAGGTAAACATTTAAACCAGTCAGGACAGACATTTGTTTATCTTTAAGTTAAATTTTCCCAAGTGTATCAACGACTCATTAGTTCTGCATTTCATATAAGAGTTTATTGGCCATCTACCATATTCAGGAAATCCTCCAGCTGCCCATAGTTTTTGGTTTGGTTTTGTTTGTTTGAGACAGAGTCTCACTTTGTCACCCTGGGTAGAGTGCCATGGCATCATCATAGTTCATAAAAACCTCAATCTCTTGAGCTCAAGAGATTGTCTTGCCTCCGCCTCTTGTAACTTGGACTATAAGTGTGCATTCACCACGCCCAGCTAATTTTTCGATTTTTAGTAGAGACAGGGTCTCTCATTCTTGCTCAGGCAGGTCTGGAACTCCTGAACTCAAGCAATCCACCAGCCTTGCTCTCCCAGAGTGCTAGGATTACAGGCGTGAACCATAGCAGCCTATAGTTTAAGTAAGAAGTTGGTACAGTCCTTCCTGGCATAGCAGGTTATATGCAAACCAGTGTGTGACTATGGGCCTACCATGTGATAAAAGAGGCATCACAAAGTTGTGCAAATGATTCATTCGACAATATTGAGGCACTTGGCA